ATTATACCCTCTGCAGTGTGAACACTAACAGTGTATTTTACCTGTGTACATGTATCTGTTTGGGTGTCCAGTATAGACCAGCTCCTCTGGTGAGGGACATTGTGTTCCCACCAGTTTTTCAGTAGGGGAGGCTGAGGGTAACCCTGTCACCCAAGTGCAGATGGACACTGCAGGGTTGAAGTTACATTTGCCACAGAATGCCCCAGAAGCCATGGTGAGGGGGCATACCATACTTGGTCTGCAATCCTGCTGCTGAAGAAAAAAATGAATTTTAGTGACAAGCAAAGAACCACATCTGTTTGTCACTAATGACAGGTTATCACATTATTTGAAGTAAAGTACAAACAATGTTTATTCTTCTTATCTGTTACCATGAAAGCTGGACAATCTTTATATAATAAGAAAATGTTTTCACAAAATATTTTTAAAACTCTAACCAAGAGATGTGAGAACTGACTAAATCATAAAACAACCAGCAGCTACTGTATATCACCCTGCAACTCACAGCTGGCAACCAACTGAAGCTAATAAGTTATGAGCTCGGCCAGTAACTGGATGGGAAAAAAAAAATCCCACTCACTAATCTCAAAGTGCAAAACATGTTCCATGCACATCTACAGTATATGAAAATATTCTATAGATTACCTATTGCTTCCTCAGAGGTTATTTCCTCAAGCAAAGCTTCCTCAAGGTTATTTCCTCAAGACAATCGGGCCTGTTGTGCTTTAATGGCAATGTACCATACATTTTACAACTATAAAAGTTTCTCATTACATGGGTGTGAACCATTTCTTCTGATTCAACAAACGAGCTGCTCTTGAAAAGTAGGTTGTTACAAGCGTACTTTATATTAAGCCAGTACTGACAATTTCAGAGGGAACCAGAGCCTACATGCTTACGTGTATTACTTTTACAGGTATGGTGACACCAAATGAGCAAATCTGTAAAAACAAATTTGCCACTATCAATTGCTTCATAATCAAGGGTCACATACAAAAAGATTTTTAATTTCACATTTAATACGGCCAATTCATCAGGAATTGGACATTTTTTTTATAAAGTGAGGCTTGTATCATGTTCTGAACAGAACAAAGCATACTTTAAGGTAACAAATACGTGACTAACAAACCAACACGGAACCAAAGTAAAAATAAATAGATCATGCATCTCTACTAATACCTCAAGTCACAGAGGTAGAATTAATCAGTGCCAGGGAGTTAGCTTGGCAGAAAGATCAACTGCCCTGAGGTAATTACTATTATGCCCTAAGGGAAAAGAAGGAACAGAATAGTAAAATGGAAAACAGAAATGAAATAAGACAAAGATGTAACAGTAGCATATTCCTCTAATGCTTCCTATATTATTGTGTTAAAAAACAATCCCACTGGCTAAACCAGCAAAGTCCTTGACCTAAAATGCTGGTCGAACCTCACATTCCACAGATCTCTGGATCATTTCTGAACTGTGCCATTAGCTGACTGGGATATCCCTAGGGGGGGCAAGGGTTGACCAACAGCTGAGGCTGGTTTGGTTCGAAGGCCAGGGTTTTCTCAGCTACTGTTAACACTGTTGACTTATAGTGTGAAAAGAGGTGAATGGTCTCTGCTCACATTTCCGAACAGTCTATTTTTTTCTCTATGCTGTTATGAGATCTGTACCTTTCAGCTGAGAAAATAAACACTCTGGTATGTGATAAAAGAATTGGCATTGTGCAGGTATTTACCGAAATGTGAACTATTTAGAGCTCCTTTTCATCCAATCACACATCACAAACAATAGAGTTAAGACATCAAAGTGGAGCTTTTACTGATGACACTACAAGCTCTTAGGTCTTGCTGCAGAGGAAACTATTGGTCTTATAGTATTCTTGGATAATGCTTGATATGGTACTAATTATAGACATGTTATTTCTTATATCTCCTTATGCTGTGTTTTAAAAAGTAAATAGTTGCTGTGAATTATGGGAATGAATATTAAGTAACTCTTGCCTATTAGCAATGATGACAGGTGGAAGAGTCTAAAGAGATTTCAGGAGCTTTAGTTTCTATTCTGCTTTTTTTCTCTCTTTGCTTAAATAAAATCAAAATTAACACCCATGACCAGCTGTTTCAACTTTATTACAGCTGATCAGGTTGACGCTGAAAACTTTGATCAGCTAAATGGACTGCATGCTTATACAGTGTACAAATTTTAAAATAAACACCTTTTAGAGTAATTGTGTACTTTTAGAAAAATGCAGTTGATGTGGTTTATAGGAATTGAATACAAATTAGCACTTACAGTTTCACAATGTTGAGGGGAAGAATCACAAATGTTTTGTAAGTGCTCATTTGAAACAGCTGTCTGATCTAGACTGCACACTCTTATAAAAAATATAATTGCGATGCAAAGTGTTCTTTATAAGACACAGACAGATGGACAGACAGATTGTCTCAATATAATAAATTTGTCTGTGAAGGCCATTCATTTTAAAATTCATCATCATATGATAAGTACATTTTTAGTAAGAGACATCACAAGGACAGGCTTCGTGAAAGAAAAATGTAGTAGAGCTAGTGTGCTCTTCAGTCATCATCACGTACAGTATAATGCAGGCCTCACTCATAGTCCTCCCTGCTTCCTTTCATCACTGTAATGTGTCTGACTTCTGTGAAGGCAATTTTCCAGCTACACAGATAGCATACAGGAGTGCTAAATGTTCCAGGTGAACCCACAAACTAATTAGAAGTATGCAACTGTCTCATGCACTACAGACTTGGGTGTCACACTCATTAACAGCTATCATTTTAAAAAAGCAACTAAATATATCAGCCAAAAACTGTCAAATGATGGAAGAAAATGTCATCCAGGAAGAAGAGATAAGATAGATTTTTATCTGTATTTATTTGTTCATTTTATTTTAGCTGAATCAGGTTAATGTAATGACTTGTTCTTTTCCACCAGTGACAGCACTAAATAAAAGAGGTAAAAAATAAATGAATGTGAGACCAATTGTTTTGATATCAATTACAATAATTTCATGTTCATCAATGCCAGTATGTGATGGAGACTATGACATTATTTGATCGTTTCAATAGTTTTAGAAAATAACAACCTCATATTTTAAATGAGCTATTGCTTTGCATTTTTTTAAATTTATTGAATGTTACATTCATATTATAAATATATTTCTTACTAAAGGAAATACTGTACAACAAAACACACTTTGATCAATGTTCCCTGTAATTCTGTAAGTCTCATGAGCACAAACTGTAATACTTGAATATGTGTTAAATGTAGGCTCAAAACATATCTATAAAGAACATCATATGAATGTTTAATTCACCTGTAACCCATTTTCCATTTACAATGGCATAACAAAACTGGTTCTTCCTAGTGACATATTGCTAGGACCAGCCATTTAGATTCAGTTAATGAATTTACAGTATGAGCTTGGACTCTACATTTATTTTGTAATATCTTGGGTTTGTAGAGCAACATATTAGTTCATATTTATTATAATTCCCCTACAACAGATTTAGACTAAGTGACAGTGCCACTGAACACTATTTACCATTTTAGAAATAATGACTGAAATGAGGATTAATCATCTTGTTCCATTTTTTTATTGAAAATCCTGATGCCTTGCAGAGTTGAACAAGAAACAGAAATCAAAATGATCAATGGGTGTTGTATTTTATCCACCTTACTTGTGTACTGCACATATATAACTCTGTGCACAATGTTTTGGTTCTCTCTCAACTGTGCAAGGTGATTAATCTCGATGCTTTTCTATTTTTAATTATATTGACTCTTTAAAAATTAAAAATTAAAAAAAAAATCATCCAAAGATGCAAAAATAGTGGCAGGTGAGGTCTGCAAATGGCCTCCAAGTCATGCAAACAAGATCACTGATACATTAAAAGGATTTTTTTTTAGAAATACAAAAAACCTACTCTTCTGTGTAACCTCATATACTACATGTCAATCTGTGACCTCAAGGGCAAATGACTAATGAAAATGAATTTAAAACAAGGAAGTTCATAGGTTATAGTAGTTGTGGTGGGGACTCATCAACTATTAAAATGCACTACATTTAAGACACTTGTTTGTCCTGTAGCATTTTTACTATTGTAGCAACCTAATTTCCTTCACGTACAGTATCTCCCATCCAACTAATGAACAAAATTACCCTTTGTTTCAGAAATTCAACAAGATCAGGTTTAAAGACTAGGGAGTGCTTTACTTTACTTAGTTTGCCATTTTTGACTGCTTCAGAACATCAACAAGCTGAAGTTCATAATCCATTAATTATTTACCTTTAAATGTATGCCAGGTGAAGGCTTGTCAGCACAAACATACTTCAAGGGATTATACCCCACTCCACCACAGCATTCTTCTGCAGATTCTATAACTTCGGTTCCGCAGCACTTCACTGAAACTGTTTCATTTCCCTTTGGGTGAGGTCTGGATACCCCACCATGGCCAGTGCAGCATATAGTATTTGATGTGTTTATGTATTCTTCTCCACAACATGACATGCCTATAAAGACATAAAAATAAACATATCTGTTAAAAAATATGACACAGAAAATGTACTGCCTTTACTGTCTGAAAGCAAAAAAAAAAGATGACAATCATGACAAAGATTAGACCTAAAACATTCATGAACGTTGCTGGGAACTGACCACCAATAGCAGTAGTATATTCTGATTAAGCGCCGTTTTTGGTCTTTTTTTTCTAGCATTATACTTAAAACTTGTCTAGAGGAACAGAGGCATCTCACTCCAGTATTTCAGCAAAACTCATACTGAAATCCTCAAATACTGAAGAGCAGGGAAAAAAGTCCAAAGTCCAGAAAGGGAAGTCCAAAGTCCAGAAAACCAATCCAATCTACACATTCAGTGCACAGGTTCCTAATGGCATAGACACAATTCTTCACCCTGAGGTTAACCAGCCTAAATACTTTAATTGGGTTTTTTAAATATTAATGTTGTGTTCTAGAAACAACATAGAATAAAAAAGGGGGACATTGTATTTTAAGGAGGGAATGATTCCACATCCCTCAAGGAGAAATTGTATTTTTCTGCATAGGGTTTACAATTTGTCTAACAGGAAGTGACTCCTATTTTATTTCCTTGGGTAAACCACCACTACTTTAATTACTATCAACCTTGTTCCAGTATGATAAATTGCTAATTGCTTAATACCCTAATCAGCGTTCATTCTTTGCACAGATAAACTGTGACAGCACCATTAATTTAAATAGTAATTTCACTTAACGGCCAGAAAGGCACAGCAGATTTTTATGCAACATTTTCTGGAGACTGCATCCATCACTGCAATATTCTGACATAAATATGTCTGACGTGCACTAACTCACTTAGGGAGAGCAGATGTTGCGGAGCAGAGTTTGGTGGCAATTCCCATAGTGCATCACTTCAGCTTCAATGACTTGCAAATAAACAGATAGACAATTTTCTATAATAGCAGCACCCATCCTTTGAACTCTGGCTGCTCTATAAATTTGCTCATAATGGCTTCTGAAGTTTGACATTGTGGCCTCAAGTCAAAAGTTTAAAAAAATCATGTTGTTTCCTATCAAGATGGTTGAAAAAATAATTTAAGTTGTAAAATGTATATTATTATGATTAATATGCAATTCAGCAAATAATATACTATAGAACTAAACTTTAAAATGATTTATTCAATCAACAGTTTTAGCAAAGAATGCAATGCTGTATTCTGTTAACATGCATGATGCTGTGAAATTATTTTGCTGATCTTTGGGTTTATGATGGATTTGCATACATTCATTAGAGTGCAAGGGAACAAAATGAACATAAGGTGCTTATGCTGCATGTGAATTAAGGTTAATTCAGTTAATGATAAGTAAATATTTATCATGCAATGAATAACTGATAAAAAGTATGTGCAATGGATTAAATATGCCTTTGGTTACAACTGAAACTTTGATCAAACTAAATACTTTTAAATACCTGAATATATTTATATGATGAAATACAAATTCTGGACAAAGACATATTTTCAAAGTCATGCCTTAGAAGTATACAAAGTGCATTAAAATGGAGATGTTTTAGCAAATAAAAACACAAGCAGAAACTGTATTTTTTTCTCTCTTTTTCATATCATTCTAGGCGAGCAGAATTAATACCAGCTTACTCCAATACAACTTTTGAATCCTGGGAGAGATGTGGAAATATAACTGCTGCCCCAGCAGTTTTTATTCCATGACATCTGTTAATTCATCGCGTTTATAAAATACATATTGACAAAGACAACTGAACTGGGACTAGCTAGATCTGATTTGGTATGAGAAAGTCAATTCAATATGAGTGTGTTAAGGAGCTCCCTTAGGTAAACTAGACGCAATAGGAAAAAAATACACAATGTAAAAGGTGTAGGAACCATTTTACAGGTTATTTAAGCATGTCACCAGTTTGTGTACAATTATTACAGAGATGCATTTCAAAATTAAACTCAGGCATGTCCTTCACCTCTGTTCTTGAAAAACAACAAAACTTTTTTCAAAATATTTTTCTAACAATACGACTAATTGTATTTTAAATTGTTTTATGTGCTCACAATGATAAATCAAGAAACATAAATATCTTTGTGCACCACTTCCAATTACAGTAGCTTAGTTCAATTCCATAAATGATGGACTTAAATACAGAACTGTCTATTTGTGAAACTGGTAATAAATGATTACATTAAGTTCTGCCAATTACCCTACAGGCTTCTTGGATTTGAAAGTTATGATATAAAACAAAAGTTCAATCAAACATTGAAAAATTAGGTGGCAGTGGGCAAGGATTTTCTGCCTACAGTTGGTTTACTAAAAATCAAATTATTTGATACTGTTTGTTTTTAAACCTTATACATCATTGAGAGTTAAGCACAGATATATCTATATATATCTCCTCATATACCCTATCAGTCTTTGATAGGGTGCTGACAGAAATAACTTATCACTAATGTGCTTTTTTAAGACTAATTCTATTATTTGCTTCTTTATTAAGCAAATGCAAAGACGTGCTCTCTGTTGCTGTATTGATACTTTATACAATAAAATTGCTCATTTACTTAAAAATTGGGTAAAGCTCTTTACAGGTAAATTACATAAGGCAGTGCTGAACATATTTAAGCTTCAAGTATGAATTCCCACTATTATGCTAATGAGCTTCCACCCTGACCTCAAGAAGACTGCACTGGGCCAAAAGAGTGAAAGGGCAATCAGCTCACACTTCTTCAGCTAAGCTTTCTTGGGGGACTACCAATTAGGCGAATTTGCTGTCCAGAGAGGGCACTTCTGCTGAGACCCTGGAAGTCCACTCTCTACTGTTTGCATGTATTTTCCTGTAATGGACAACTCATGATCCCCGTAGCAATTCTACACAAAGTTACTTTCAGTGTTACTGGTATTTGGTCATTGTTTATGAATACGTTTCATCTAAGGATTGCTTCTTTTTGAAAACAATTACTTTTTACATACTGTATAACATAAATGGTTTAGTATGTAGTTTTTATTTTTATGGAGTAAACCCTTAATTATTTTAACACATACCAAAGCCCAACTGTAGTTTGTTTATTTCTTTGTTTTTTTTTCATATAATCATCTTCCCTCTTCCATCTTCCCTGAAATTCTTTGACACTATATGAAACTACTGTATATGCATAGAGAAAAAAGAATCCTAAATTTCAAGGGTACAGTTGGAATGAAGTGGAACAATAATACTGCTGGTCTCCACAACTGGGTATTTTTAAATTATTCTCATAGTTGCTGTCTTGAATGGTGCCCTTCATAATAGCAATTGTGAGAGTGGTCTAAAACAGGAACAGTTCTAATGAAATAATTCAGCCCCAGATCCCATTTCAGAGGACTGCAATTACAGTACACTACTTCTAAAGTAATAGATAGATATGCACTCATATTTAAAATCTTAAGAACACCAATTAACTAACTAATGTTTTAAACAATATCATTAAAATATTATACATGTAGACAAGAGTTTTGCAAATACAAATTTGAAAACAGCAAGCTAGAAGAACCTACTATGTATTTATGTTGTAGCGGCGAGGCTTAATAATAAGGCAGAATTAAGTGTTTCTGAGCTTCCCAAATGAGGCCCCATTT